GCTTGTAGTTTATTTTACCTGGGTCAATCAGCAAACAGGAGGCGGAGTTTGAATGACATTGATTTTCTGCGCAGTGTCTGCTAGTTATTTTAGCAATGGCAGTGGAGGAAGTTAATGAAGCCAGTCTGTGTTGATAAGGCTTCCAAATAAAATAAAATTTGTCTGATAAAGCAGCAGCTCTCTCGTTTGGCTTGGTACTTCTCTCCTTTCAGTAGGGTTGTTTGCAGCGCACACAATTTCCGGTTAGCTTTTTAGCTTAGCCTCCTTCACAGTGGAGCTGGCACTTGCGGCCAACCGATGCAATCATTTTAAACTTCAACAGAGGCCACGCCTCCAGCAAGAATCGCTTTCTACAGCCGAGGTTCCAGACCCTCATCCGAAGCAAAGTGAAGAACGAGGATCTGGTTTTTACCAGGCTACTATCCTGCAAGAAGAATGACTTAAAATCCCTCTGACCACTGTGCAGAACTTGTATATGTTGTATACGAACAAAAGTAAGAGAAATTGCATGAGGCCCAATGGGCCTCATGCAAGAACATGTTCGTATTCTTCTCCTAAATTTCTCTTACTTTTGTTCGTACAAAGGGTTCGTACGAACATGTCACGTCAGATTCAACAAACTCTTCTACCTTCAGGAAACGTGCGTAAATGAGCTGTGTAATTTACACCTTTTCTATCCAGCTGCTCGTGCACGCGAGAGGAGATTAGCATAATTACCACCCCAAAAACACCATATAAGGCTATGCCTCAGATACAAGGAAGTGTTCATTCATTCATGAAAATTACAGTGAAAACTGAAAAAATAAAAACTTTACGAGTTCAGAGATTGAAGTCCGTCTGTCAGAGATCAAGCAAAGAAAATCTGACATATTTAGCAGCTCAGCTGTGGCATAAAAAGAGCTGCTAAAAGTATAAACAACTGTGTTAAATCATTTTCATTTATTCAGAAGCCGCAGCGCTGCGCAGCCTCCCCAGATGCGGGTTTGAAATAAGCATTTTAAAATGTTTTCAAAATAAGTCTGGCTCTTTGGAGAAAATCAAGGACTCACTGGAGGGGTTATGTATCCCCTCTGGTCTGGGAACGTCTCGGACGAGCTGGAAAGTGTTGCTGCGGAGCGCGCGGGGTCTTTCTCCCCCCCGCCGCCGCACCCAATAGCGGATAAGCCGGCCGGACGGACAATTTATAGTTAGTCTAAATTATTACATTTAAAATTATAACTCTAATTCAAGCAGAATAGCCTATTGTCAACATAATTATGGAGTGTGATTTATTTTCAACTCAAAATATCTTCAAACTAATGAAATATAAAGTTATTAATGAAGAAAACCCGTCTGGATAACAGCAGACTGACTGTTCGTAAAATCTACGACAGGTCTGGACCACTCGTGAATTTTGTTCGTATCTGAAAAAAATCTTAGAATACGAAAACATTGGTGAATGCCACAAATTCTCCTAAATCACTCGTACGCACAACTTAAGAACAAATCTGTGCGTACGAACGGTTCTTGCATGAGGCCCATTGTTTCCTGTACCAAGAACTGATGAATTCAATTTACCACACACAAACATGAACACAAACATGAAATTGCTTCAGCTGCACAAACTATATTTACCATCAGAGAAAAATGAAAAAAAAAAAAAAACTGCCTCGTAGTGGAATTCTTTTATTTTTGTTTCATGTCCATACAAACTAGATTTTATCACAAGCTTGGTTGACCTGTTTGTTACTAGATAAACATTACTTACGTGTTGTGGTTAATTGTGAATTTTAAATTTAAGCTTTTAGTTGACCATACCAACATTTTACATCCCAATCTTCCAACATTGTCGTTACATAATTAGAAGTTGCCACACATTGCTGATTATTATTTTAAGTGAGAAAATAAATGTGTGGGGAAACTTAATCCATACTGCCAAATCCAAGTAATGTTAGTAAGTTTAAAACCATCTGAGTTTCATCTATGCTTCCTGCCAGACAAGCAGTGGTAATAAGAAAATACAAGTGTTCCAGGAATGAGTCCAGTATTGCAATGATGCACAGTTTTGTTTCTAGCAGTGTTCATATCATTAAAGATTTTGACATAGTCGTGCATCTGCTGCTATATTATTAGGTTATATGTTGAAAAAAAAAGAATATGTTTTTAACGAAAGATCTGATGTTAACTATATGTGGACTGTTATATGTTGGTCTTTGATTGACTGTTGGAAAAAATGTGAACTTAGTTTATGATAAAATGCACAACAAACCAAAGATTAATTTGGATCTTCTCAAATGTAAGAGTAAACTGATGCGTGGGCCTGTGAGGAAAGTTTTATAAAATATGTAAACAAGTTTTCCATTTGAGTGGAGGACTATATAATGTTTTTATGTAAAATTAATGATGCATAATGTTGGATTAAAATGTATTAATGCAAATATGAATTTTAAGTTTGTGAAAATAAGCCTAGTTTGTGTTTGTGTTGACTTGTTGCACACACAACCGGCTTCTGTTTTTCTTGGTTTCATTGAAAGGTCAGTTAGGCGGAATCTGTGACCTCTGATTTATCTAATGTTGATTATCATCTGATGGGGAACCTTGTTAATATTTTACTGCCTTATACTTTACAGTTTTCAGAAGGGAAGGATTTGATATTTGCATTTTAACCTTTTAAGTTGGCACATGAAGTGTCCAGTGGAGGATTTGGGAGAAAAGCCTCAGGATATTCTTCACAAGGTGCAACATAAAATGATGACACTGACTCATTGTAAAACATTGATTACTTTCATTATTTTTATTGGTTATGTTTTTCTCAGTGCAACTTCTCAGTCAATGACAAAAGCCAAAGCAGAAAACTCAAAAGAGGTATTGTTTTTGATATACTGTACTTTTTTTATTTGTTAAAATAAGTATGTTTTTCTTGAATGCAGAATGAAGCAACCAAACAGATCACCTTTTGAAATTCAACAGAGTTTGTTAGGTTGTTTGCCTACAAAATTAGATATTGATTTTGGTGGTTGCTCTTGATCTCTGGTATTGGCTTTCTGTCATTTATTGGCTTTCCTTCACCACTTCCTTTCTTCTTTGCCTTTGCATTTTTTTAAACATTAACCCCTTCAAACACAGTTTCATACAGTTTCAGAGTATGATGATGAAGATATGAAACTATTTTTTGTTAAGGTGTTGTCTAATATAAAAGCTCCTTATTGCAGCCGCATGCTTGAATTACAACCCTGCTGGGTTGTCGTTGTCCTACTAATGTAAACAGCAGAAAACTTGTTTTATTTATCAGTTTCACACAGGCTTGATATTACAAAGAGAATATGACTTCTGCATACAAGCAATGAAATAAAAATATTTGTAATATTTTGTGGAAGAATTGTCACTCTTTGCTTCTGTCTATGCTTGACTGAATGTGATGGACTTGCGACCTGTCCAGGGTGTACCCCGCCCCTAGCACAGTGGATATGGGCACCAGTGACCCTGAAAGGAAGAAGCGGGTATAGATGATGGATGGATGGATATGCTTGGTTAAGAGTATTTGGTGTGGTAGTTAGTGAAAGTCATCAACAGCACATGAGGTCTGCACATTGCACAACATTTTAAATAAAATCTTTTGCGTTAACTGTTGGCGTCAACTCTGTCCAGCTTCCATTTTTTATTTTTAATTTTTGACGGACTGATAAAATTTACTGAAAACTCAGAAAGTAATCATTGAAAAAAAACTTCTTGTTGTGATACTATGCATCATCCATTGGGTGCTCAAATGACGTTCATAAAGTAATTACATGATTCGACCAAAACTTCATTTCTCATTACAAAGGATCATAGTTTAAAAGTCTAGCAAAACAGGTGATGGACAACATGCATTTTATCAAGAAAAGCTATTTATTTATGTATTGCTCCTTTATTCTGGTTTAGAATTTTTTTTATATTCATGTTCTCTGATGTTGCTTTTAAGCCAGTTTTCAAAACCTTTTCCTTTTCTATAAATACATGAACAGCCTGTCAAGTCTGAGTGAGCACTGATGCATTAGAAAGCAATAAATCACAGTGTTGCTTGTTTAGTTTTTTTCCCCTACCAACCTACAGCTATCTGTATGTCCCCAGCTGCACAGTCCTGACACATGGAAACACTCACGTGCACATCTGTGCAAACATGCTCTCTGCTGTTTCCTTCTTGTCTGGCAGCCATCAAATTGTGGGCAACTATGGCTCAGTAAATACATACATGTATATAAAGACCAATTTAATCTATCAGCCAAGTCTGACAGGCCTATTTCCTTGGAATACGAGATGCTGATGGTTTAGGGAAATTCAGCAGCAGCCTCAATTTGTCATGTCCACAGTAGTCCCCAGGCTGCAGTACTAAGCACCAAACTATAGTGTTTCTGGGGTGTGGGGGCTTTCTGTTACACCATATTCTCATTTCCTTTACCTTCAGCTTTGCATGATTACTCTACTCCAACCGATGTGTGCTCATATTTAGAAATCAGACTCATCGTAGCACGGTGGCTGCACTGAGACATGAATGTGGTAGCAAGCTGTCATCAAGTTCAGTATCAAGTCGAACCCCAGAATATTGACTGGTAAGCTGGAATGCATAAACAGCACTGCCTACAACTAAGTTACTGTTTGAACATTTCATCTGTAAAACTATAATACATACATATTCCTATGTTAAAGGCTGCAGGATCCAAATGCAGGTCCAAACTTTAGACTCACGATGAAAGATGAAGTACAGACAACAGCCAAATTAAATTTCCAGACAATTATCCAAACAACATCAGCTGCAGGAACAAGCACAATGGTAATAAACTGGTAGAAGACAAAAGGAAACCAGATAAAATGCTAAATGAATAATAAGAGTGGCAATTAGCCAAACAAAACCAGATGTGAAAGGAACAAAAAACTGTTTGCTAAATTAAAACAGGAAATAATGCTAAAAACTTACATAGAGAAATGACCTTTTCCCACAAGTTTGGGAAAATGGGTGATCCTACTTGTTTTTTCGTACTTACATGGCTGAGGTTCCAAGTGAGCCGTGCCTAGCCCATGATTTCACTTCAGCAGAATGCAGGTCACTGATTGGCCAGGGAACCACGTCACCGGCTGATTCATGGTGGCAGCAACTGCTTCAAAACCTTCATTTTCTTGCCCCGATTTTCCACAGCCACACCGACTTGCTTTGATTCCAATTTTTTGTAAAGTAACTAACCGTAGATTCAGCAACAGGCGTTCCATGACCTTTTGAGCACTGCCTTTGAAGCTCTGTCTCATTCAGTAAATGTAACACCCAATCCATCAAAGTGGACCAACAAAATACAAATACAGACTGTCACCCTTTTAGCCACTTTTCCACAAACACAACCATAACCTCATGTCACACAGACGTTCACAACATCTTTAGTCTTATTACACCCTTTTGTGGTTGGTTCCCTTTGTCCATTCTATGCTCCTCTTTATCTTTCTGCCTCACCTTCAGGCCATTATGAAGTTGACATAAAAGCTCACTGGCGCTTCCTCGGGGACACATTCTATCGCGGATCTCTCTGAGGCCAAACAAATAAAACACTGACAGATAGTGACAAGCAATGTCCCGTGTCCCCAGAAATTGAATTTCTCTCCACCCTCCCTTAGTTTCTGTGTCTTGATTTGGTTTATCGATCGATAATGTAAAATAAAAAAGGGCATGTTTACTTCCTGTTGAAATAGCTCAAAAAGTACAATAAATGTGTATTTTTCGGCAATTTGGGTGCTCTGAAATAAGCCATTCTGTCAGACTGTGTGGAAGGGCTGTGCTATTGATTTCTAAATATGCATTTTGTTAAGTCAAACTTTAAAATGTTACAAGTAAAAAAAGGAAATAAAATAAAAACAAAATACTTATAAAGATGTTGAAGTGCAATTCCCATTTTTTCTAAATGGGTGAAAACAGAAGCATCAAAGCTGAGTGACTATTTTTAGGTTTTATGTTGAAATAAAAAAAACAAAAAGATATTTGTTTTAGCTCTAAGAAATACAGAAAACAATTTTAAAAACAAGTTTTGTGTGGTTGTAAATAAATTAGGCATTGAAAGACACCACACTGCTCTTAGATTTAGCAAGTAGAGCTAGCATTTTAACTTCAACATTAATATGCCATACACTAAACACTCTGCTTAGTGACAATCATAAGCTCTATGCTAAGCTCCTGTTATGGCCAAACTTGCCCTGCCTGCTTTATTTTAATCTAGTCAACCAATAGACAATTTGATTGACAGCAAATTTGAACAGTCACATAACTGCTTCAAGCTGTTTGATTCAGCACCAATCACCTCTGGCCTAAATGATCAAATATAAATGCCTGACTGAATGGAAGTATAGCACATTTCTATGGTTACAAACAAGGGCTCACATAAAAAAATCATGTATTTTATACATCCACTCATACCTAGTTGAGGATCTCTGCAGCCAAAGACCAATCATGCAAATGAAGTTTGATAATATTTTAAATTGGAAAAAGACCAGAGGAGGAAAGTGGGTGTCTCAGTCAGCTGCAACCTGGCATCAAGTTAGTGGAGGGTGGAGGAGGCATGCAAACCCAAGTGAACACTGAAAGCAAAAAGTTGATGAGATGTGAATTCATTTTTCTTTTGGCGGTTTGTTGTTTTTAAATTTCAGTTGAAATATTTGTGTTTAAATCCCTTTTGCACTGCTTAAGACAAGTGTGTTGACAGATCTGTGTTTCTAAGATAAGATAAGAAGCTCAGAACTGTTTGGATGTCGTGATGTTTGATGCATAAGCTCTTCACCCAACAATGAGCCCAGCCTCATTTTGGCCACTTTGATTAATAGTCTCAGTCTTTTGAGGACTTCTCTTCAGTTTATGATGATATGTATGGGCTGGAGTTTAGATCAACTGTCAAATCACCATGACAAACTGGTTCATCATCTGCATAACTGACGATGCTTCGACAATCTGCCATAAATCTGTCACTATTCCCACCAGTCAACAATAAGTAACTTATTCCCACTCTGCAATTGGCAACTTCAACTGACTGAGAGCTATATATATAGTATATTTATTCAGAAGATATTATTATGGCTGTTAAAGCTTTAAAATGAACCTCAGAGCCTGCAACAATTCAATCTAAAGCTAACCAAATCAGAAAGTTATCACCCTTTGGCCTCTGCTTGAATGTTACATTCATTTATGAACAGATTTAGTGACCTTCACTGTGAACAAGTCTAACAAGCAGTTAAAACCAGGCTCTCATTTCAGCTGGAGCACATCTTCTAGTCCTTTTTTGTTTGTGTTGGAGCAGTAACTATCCCCTAACTTAGCCTGTCCAGAGGCACTATGCCTGACCTCCAAGTAAACTAACCCTCATCCATCCATCCATACTCCTGTGTGTTAAAATACAGCAAAAGCACTGTAGGACTTGAGAAATTTAAGGCACACTTTCATCACATGTAAGAACATTTAAACTAAATACAAAAAATATGATGAGAGTAAAATTGGAAACCTTTTTTGCTACGACTGGAGTGCTATTGACTATATTGCAACACTCAAAGTGTTCCTTCAATTTGGATGTTATACTCATTAAGAAATAAGCAGCCACTGCTCACCCGTCATTGTATGCATTTTCCAATTTATTACTCTGCCCACTGGAATTATGATTCATCATAAATAACAGTGTACAGAAAATACATGACATAAGTGCATACAAACATAAGCACTGCAAAACAAATTGTGTAGAAACTGTTAGTAGGTCTTATGAATATTTAATATTTAATAAGCAGCCATTAGTAGATGCAAAACAGGTGGAAATGAACAATAAATCTATGCAATCTACTTTGAGGGGCAAAATTAGTTTGCCCCACATATATTCCTCCTAACAAACTATGTAAAATATGTGTTTACTCAGCTTGCCATGTATTGTTTGGTTAGGTGTTTTTCAGTTATTTTGCAATTGTTTTTATATTTTTTATCATTCATTTGTTTAATGCATTCAAACCATTTACAATAAAATACAAAACAAAAAAAAATCCATTAAAAAA